CTCTATAACAGAGAACAGTAGTCTCACAGTAGTCTTTGTTTCTGCCTTCTTTTGGGATTACTGGGATGACAGCGTCCCTGAGGGCTGGATAGTAGCCTTAAGTGTCCAGTTAAAGGAAAAGCTCCGTCACTCCCGGGGCTTTTGTTTGCCTTCAGTTTGCTAACGTTGTCTAATTCCTTCATAGATGTTAATGCTTCGCTCAGGTTTGTGTCTGTTGTTGGAAGGTCCAATTTGAACAAGTAGTTTTGGATTTCAGTCACATTTGAATCAGTAGGTGTGGAGCACAGCATCTCATAGGCACTTTTAAAGATTGTTTGAATCATCTCTGGGTCGAATGTAAATTCATTAGTAGATAGGTCTCTAATTTTAGGTATTGAGTGTTTAGTTCTTTGTGTTCTAAGGCGCCTCGCTAGAATTTGTGTTGCTTTTGATCCCAATTCATAAAATGTTTGTTTAGCATTTTCTTTCCCCGTTCTTCACATGTGTTTTTTGTCCAGGGTGTGTTTTATTATTCTTATTTCTTTTGATAATTCCTCACTCCGGTCAGTTTGGTGTTGCCTAGTTCCTAGTTCCCTTTTTTTAAATTGTCATATTCAACTCAAGAAATCAGTTTACCTCTTGTAATGGAAATTCCTTTATTTAATGTATTGATCACTTTGGTAATAGTAATATCACTTTCTCACTTACAGTGGCTTGCAAAAGTATTGGGCCCCTTGAACTTTCCCACATTTTGTCACATTACAGCCACAAACATGAATCAATGTAATTGGAATTCCAGGTTAAAGACCAACACAAAGTGGTGCACACGTGAGAAGTGGAACGAAAATCATACATGATTCCAAACATTTTTTACAAATAAATAACTGCAAAGTGGGGTGTGCGTAATTATTCAGCCCCCTTTGGTCTGAGTGCAGTCAGTTGTCCATAGACGTTGCCTGATGAGTGCTAATGACTAAACAGAGTGCACCTGTGTGTAATCTAATGTCAGTACAAATACAGCTGCTCCGTGACGCCTCAGAGGTTGTCTAAGAGAATATTGGGAGCAACAACACCATGAAGTCCAAAGAGCACACCAGACATGTCAGGGATAATGTTATTGAGACATTTAAAGCAGGCTTAGGCTACAAAAAGATTTCCCAAGCCTTGAACATCCCACGGAGCACTGTTCAAGCCATCATTCAGAAAGGGAAGGAGTATGGCACAACTGTAAACCTACCAAGACAAGGCCGTCCACCTAAACTCACAGGCCGAACAAGGAGAGCTCTGATCAGAAATGCAGCCAAGAGGCCCATCTACAGCTCAGGTGGGGGAATCTGTCCATAGGACAACTATTAGTCGTGCACTGCACAAAGTTGGCCTTTATGGAAGAGTGGCAAGAAGAAAGCCATTGTTAACAGAAAACCATAAGAAGTCCCGTTTGCAGTTTGCCACAAGCCATGTGGGGGACACAGCAAACATGTGGAAGGTGCTCTGGTCAGATGAGACCAACATGCAAAACGCTGTGTGTGAAAACTAACACTGCACATGACTCTGAACACACCATCCCCACTGTCAGATATGGTGGTGGCAGCATCATGCTCTGGGGCTGCTTCTCTTCAGCAGGGACAGGGAAGCTGGTCAGAGTTGATGGGAAGATGGATGGAGCCAAATACAGGGCAACCTTGGAAGAAAACCTCTTGGAGTCTGCAAAAGACTTGAGACTGGGGCGGAGGTTCACCTTCCAGCAGGACAACGACCCTAAACATAAAGCCAGGGCAACAATGGAACGGTTTAAAACAAAACATATCCATGTGTTAGAACGGCCCAGTCAAAGTCCAGATCTAAATCCAATCCAGAATCTGTGGCAAGATCTGAAAACTGCTGTTCACAAACGCTGTCCATCTAATCTGTTTTGCAAAGAAGAATGGGCAAGGATTTCAGTCTCTAGATGTGCAAAGCTGGTAGAGACAGACCCTAAAAGACTGGCAGCAAAAGGTGGTTCTACAAAGTATTGACTCAGGGGGCTGAATAATTACACACACCCCACTTTGCAGTTATTTATTTGTAAAAAATGTTTGGAATCATGTATGATTTTTGTTCCACTTCTCATGTGTACACCACTTTGTATTCAAAGGAGCTTGCGAAGCTTCTTCAGTTCAGAACTGAAGAAGCTTCTTGGATGAGAGGTGAAACGTCTTCAGGCAACTTAAAGAAGTCCAGAGGCTTTTCTTTGCAAGCTCCTTTGGCTATGATGACCTGGATGACTGAGAACCTTCACAGACACCACTTTGTGTTGGTCTTTCACGTGGAATTCCAATAAAATTGATTCATGTTTGTGGCTGTAATGAGACAAAATGTGGAAAAGTTCAAGGGGGCCGAATACTTTTGCAAGCCACTGTAGTTATATACATGTAGGATAGCATCGCATGTGTTCTACACACACACAGTGGGGCATTGTAAGTTCATGGGAGACATTAAACAGATGGTGAGGCTCCTTCCCTTATCAGGGAGGATTCGAGAGGTAAATCTCTGGGTGACGGCTAAGTGAAAAACAAGGGTGCATCTCTCTGTTTAAAGGAAAGGTTTGAAGGAGGGAGCTGAGGGTATAGGCTCATGCGATGGGACAATATGTAAGAGGTGTGTTTTTGTTCACCCCTGTATTTAAAGAAACGCTTTGTTTTTCATTGTTAGAGACCACTTTGGTGTTTGACAATGTGATTAAACCAGATGCTCATCAGTGTTTGCAGTTTATGTTAAAACTTCCACAGCACTCTCATTACACCCTTAACCGTATCCCAGACTGTTGTGGGTTCCACTTCATTATCTTTGTTTAAATTATTACAATCTCGAGTTTCTTTCTTTATTTCCTGCACTATTGTTTTTTTGTTCAAAATTCCAATGTTTAGTCTCTGTTGGGTCCTTCGTTTTAAGTCTTCCAGGTTAACTGTCAGGTGAATGGTGTTATGATCTGATGTGTCAGCTGTCCCAATTGTACAATCTGAGACCCTCTGTCTCTCTGTAGTGTTCATCAGGAAATAGTTCTGGAATAGACCTTGTGAGTTGCAGAGTAATGTGTAATGTCTTTTTCTTCTGGATGGAAATCCCTCAGCACCTCAAATAGTTCACTTTCCTTAATTTTTTAAAACATTTCCACATTTTTAGACACAGTATGTTGTGTGAATGCTGTCCAGTGCTCGTTGTAGTTTGATATAATATTCCTTCTTCTTATAAATACCTTCACTCAGGGAGACTACTTGATCAAAAACAAGCCTGAGACATGTCAGGTCACTCTCTGGAGGTGCGTCTATATTGACACAGTGCTGTTGATTCTGCCTTTAACAATGACATCTCTACCATCTTTATTGGCTTCCACTTTCATCACTTCAAAATTGACGCGGTTAGATATTAGTGTAATAACCCCCCTCCTTCTGCTGTTCTTACATGAACTGCAGAAAGAGTTTATATAGCCTAGCTTTTCATCTTCTCATGTTCGTTTTCATGTGTGTTTCTGGGAGAAGCTGCTCTTGCCTTTTTCATTTTTGCAGTGACTTTACTCCTTTTTATAGGATTGCCAAGACCATTAACATTCCAACAGTCAGCCCTATAAACAAAAATGATACTCTATAAGAGTCCAGAACTGTAATGGAACATCTAACATGGAAGAAGACCAAATAATACTGTGAACTCCAATGGTGGGGCAGATAACTGTCCTGCTCCATAACCCTGCTGGTGGGTCATGGGAAAGGCCTGTCGTAAAGACAAGGCCCTACGCTGGGGGCTAGTGATGAAACAAGCACCATCCTATTTGTCCAGCGCTCTTAATTTCGAAAGCTGCTCCCAGCTATAAGCATCTGAAGCAAATTTACATCTGACCCGTTGTTGTTCCCACACCACACCATCGTAGTCATTCCGGGGTGCTCCTTTTGAATATCCAGAGTTTTTCTTTGGCTCTCCCTGCAGCTGTAGATCAGCCTTCCTTCTGGCTCTTTTCCAGGCGTTGCCATTTTAGTTGCTCCTTCCGTCTGGTTGCAGCTGAGGCATCCTCCTCTCTCAGAGCGGATACCACTACGCTGAAGCTGCGTCTCTTTAGTTCCAGCGCTGCTTCGTGTGCGTTGCTGTAGGTTCGGATTCCGTTGTCACAGTCGATTCTCTTATTAGTGTCTGTAAACGAATGCCTTTCTCCTTTAGTGCCTTCTTTATCCCGTTGCAGTCTCTACGTTTTGAATAATCTCTGCTGCATAATCATGGTCGAAGAACAGCGTTTGGTTTCAGGATATTAGCTAAACAGAAAGGCACAACTAGCAATTCAATGAAAATAAAAAGAGAAGAAATTCTGAAAACAGAAAGCTCTTTGGAAGGCAAAGGTTTTCCCATCGGTGCTTGATAGAGGATTTCAGCTGCTCAGTCATCCAGGACTGTTGTTGTGTTACAGTGGTCCCAGTGTTTTCAGTGGGTGACAGGTAAACCAGCAGTCTGTGATATGGAGCCATGCTGCTGTACATCAGGAGTGTGGTCTGATACTGAATTTCTGAAGTAATCAAGACTTTTCCAGAAGAAGACATCTGGGTACCAACATGTGTCGCTTTAACACCCCCAAAGATCTTCTAAGCTACTCGTGCTGTGCAAAATGCTAGCTTTGAACTGTGCGTGGACAGTGGGCCCACTGTGGCTCACAGCATGACAAGGTGTCCTTGACCAAGATATTGAATCCTAAACTGTCCCTGGTGCAGCCATCAGTTTGTGTGACTGATGAAATGCCCAAAATAAGCGCCTTGTGTTTGAACAAATGTATTTTCCAGATTGGATGAAGGCAACAACGTTTTAAGATGTTTATATAACTGTTGTCACTTTTTAATGTTGTGTAGCTTGTTGTTGGTGTGATGACAAACCATTCATGACACCTTGCAGGGACTTCCTCTGTGGTCCTGGCTATTCCTGCTATTGTTGCTAGGTGCATGTCAGTGTGTTACCCTAATCTGATTGGCTTTTGTCTTTCTTTCTGTTTTTTTAACCTCTTTCAGATCGTGTGGTGAACTGAAAAGAACGCTGAAGCAAAGGTGGAGAGCAGCAGGACTTTGGTCTCCTGCTGTCCCGTGTTTTTGCTGGAAACTCCACTTCTCTCACTGCCCAGTACACTCCTACTGTTCTTCCTGTTCGTTCACTCTCCTATCATCTATCTGCCCATCTTGCTCGACAAATAGGTCAACAGAATCCAAGCGCCAAAGACTAGGAGACCATCTCAGCTGTTTCTGTAGAAGCACTGCTAATAGAAAGAACACAAGTGGATGTAACTGCCCCCACCCACAGAGTTCGGTTCAGTCCCACGGGCGATGAGACGAGCCAGGAGCTTCATCTTTCTCTAGACACTTTCTTCTACACCTTCTGTCTTCATGCTTTGGGGGTCCTCAGGTGCCCCCACCCCGTGTCGACCCCCCCACACCCGTTGCCACCACGGCAGACCACCCCAATCGCCTTGTTGCCATGCCGACAGAGACACTGACTCCAGCCCTGCCAGATAGCAAGGCTGCTGGCCCTGCAACGCCCTTCAGTTCCACTGTACCCCTCCGCATCCTCAACAAGGGCCCCGAGTACTTCAGGAGACAGGTACTGTGTGTGTTAGGATGTACAGAGATCTGTTCAGGTAAATGTGGGATTGAACTGAAGCATCAGAGGTCATAACTTTAAGTGTTTTGGCCACAAAATTCCAGGGTCGAGCTCATTTGTATAACCAATATAATTCCATAATAATTGGTCATTTGTGAGTCGTATAATACCGTGTTTTAATAAGCGCTGATCAAAATGCCTGCACCATTTGTGACTGTATTGTACAGTGAAACTTGTCTTAAAAAGAACTAGTTAGCGCTTTACAATGCAATTAATATCCTGTTGTAGTAACACCCACTGTACCACTGTCAGAAAAAGGTGTCCATCCATTTGGAACTAACACTGGTCTTAATCTGTCTGTGAAGGTTCTCAGTCATCCAGGTCATTGTAGTCAAAGGAGCTTGCAGAGAAAAGCGTCTGGACTTCTTTAAGTTGCTTGAAGACGTTTCACCTCTCATCCGAGAAGCTTCTTCAGTTCTAAGGTCAAGACTCAGCTGTCCATCTGCATCTAAAGGTCAAAGGTCACTCTTTCGGGGATGCCAATGTTCACATTTTGGACAGAGAGGACAGATGGTTTGAAAGAGGAGTGAAAGAAGCATCTATGTCCACTGTGAGCGACCATCTTTGAACAGAGGCGGGGGTTTACGACACCAACTCTCTGTCATCTATAATCCAGTTTTGAGATCCCTTCCCAGACGCCTTAACGCCCACTCACATCCTGGGCCATCTGACCTCAGGAATTCGCATGATAAGGTGGGGCCAGGTTTCACAATGAACACACCCGAAACTCTGGCTGATTGGGACCCACGCCCAGTTTCCCACCTTGACTCAGGCGATTAGAGGATCATCAGGGGGTCCTTTTGTCCCTCTGTGGGGGGAAACTCCCACTAGGTTTATATCTGGGATTCTCCACCATTTGACCTTAGAACTGAAGAAGCTTCTCGGATGAGAGGTGAAACGTCTTCAAGCAACTTAAAGAAGTCCAGACGCTTTTCTTTGCAAGCTCCTTTGACTGGTCTTAATCCACGTCACAGTTAGTTGTATGAAGTATTGCTGTGCTCTGCTGACGGGGCTCCATCGTCTGTTGCTGATCATGTAGGCTGTCACTGTTGCCGTCAAGTTGCTCGTAGACACAATTGCAACAACTTTTACATGACCTTGTAGATATGCACTTAGCTGTAAATGTTTAAAGTGTGGAAGCTTGTTGCAAATTTAGGGCTGTGAGAAACTCAGAAAGTCCTAAATATAAATAAGCATAGAATAGAATTGTGTAATGGCAAAGATGGCAGTTAACCTGCCCCGATCACCACAGAGCCATTATCTTGTTTCAGTTCCAAATGCACATCAGAGGTGGAGCTGCGTGCTGTCGTTTTTCTTGTTCCTGTAATGCTCATCACCTCTGCACTCTTCCTTTAAAACGCTGAGGCGAGCCAGAGAATTCGTACAGATGCGAAGCTGTGCCTGTATAGTACAAATATAACGTGCTGGGGAAAAAGCGTTTTAAAGCTTTTTCTAAGGCAAAGCTGCCAAATTTTAAAGCATTTTTAATAACATTTGCTGATTCTGTACATCAGTGCTGCATAGGTGAGACGTGCTTGTAGAAAGACTTTGGTAAAAATCAGGATGCATCAGTGTCTGTTTCTATAGTGTCCAAACGTTATGTGATGCAAAAGGGAAAAAAGATGAGTGGATAAATTTCCAATGCTCACTCGTTGTATCCCAACATTAGGCAGTGTAACACTTCCTGACTTTATGAACTCGTGAATCTCTTCCGAGATGATCTGCAGCTGCATCACCAAATGAACGGGGTTGTATCATGTTTGTCTCCTATCGCTTGTTTCAGACAAGGAGTGAGAAGAACACAATAACAGATTTTTAAAAAACACACAGAAATAACCCAAAACAACTCGATTCCTACCCCTGCTGCACGCATATAGAATAAGGTAAGGGACTGATTCAATGCCATCTCTCTTTTTTAACCTGTGTCTCAGGTGGAACCAAACCCTAAGCGCCTCAGTGCTGTTGAAAGACTAGAAGCTGATAAGGCCAAGTATGTCAAGAGCCAGGAAGTCATCAATGCCAAGCAGGAGCCAATCAAACCACCTATGCTCGTTAAACCACCTGCTGGCCATCCCCTGCTATCCAAGAGAGGTCCTGGCATCGGTGGAGGAGGCAGTGGAGGCGGGTTACCTTTCAAAGCATCCAATAACAATGCCAAGTCAGACACGTGCGCAACAAGCTGTGGCAGCATCAAACGGGAGAATTTAAACCTAGAGATCCTAAAAAATCTGCTAAACTCATCGTCTTCTTCAGCAGCAGGATCTGGAGGTGGAGCTAAGAGTGCTGTGCATATGAGGTCAACAGGTGGAATGCCCAGGAGTTGGACACCATCGGGGTAAAATAATATACTTTTATCTTGTGTACATATGTAATCAATAATTATGTGGCGCTCAAATATCTCCATTCAGAAAGTTTCTCTAAACGTGTTACTTTGAGTGTAACTTGGTAATGTATGTTATATTTGGTACAGTCCTGTGAAAAGCTATATACAACCTCACTGCTGTCCAGTTAATCAAAAGCATTTGATTAACTGATCATCAAGTGTGACCGCAGCTGTAAAATCAGAGGTTTTGGCAGTTTGCTAGTCTGCAGCAGTCAGGTGTGTTAACACAATGCCACAGTCTTCCCAGGAGTGCACGTTCCAGCAAATTCCCCCCAGCTCAGACCATGCAGCCTTCAGAGAAACTGCAAAAAGCCCACGAGCTACACACCAGACTCTGCAGGCCTCAGTTAGCAGGCCTGCAGAGTCTGAAGGGGGGTCTAGCCTAGGGACCCTTACTGGATACAGATGCCCTGGTCAGGAATCAAACCCCTGACATGAAGTTCCAAAGACGTGTAGTGTTTACCTCCAGGTGAAGCAGAGAAAGTGCTGATAGGGATAGATCTACCATCTTTCTGATTGGTAGATGGCGTGCTCTACCACCTGAGACACGACCGCCTCCAGCAAAACTGGAGAAGCTCTGACTGAAAGAAGTAAAAGTTGTGTCCAAAGAGGAAGCCTGAAAAGGCACAGCTTCCCAAAATGTTTCCACTGTTGTGAGGACAGTTTTAAAAAATATTAATAATGAAAAATCAAAGCTCCAGCTCGGAAAAGCTTCTGAAAATAGTTTCTGCTAAGATGCTCACTGTGACTAAGTTAAACAAAAAGTCTGGAGGTCAATGTTGATATGCAAAAGACAAAAATATGACAAGCAAAATAAGAAAGCAGGAAGTGAAGTGTCAGCCTGAGATGAGCTGCAGTGAAGACAAATGTGGCTTCTGGTGTATTCGAAACCTATAGATAATGACCAAAAGACAGCCGGGCCGTCATAACTTGTTTGTTTGCACTTTAAATATGTGTTCATGAAGCGCAAACAAAGTCAGCTAGATGATAAATAACCAACATTTGTACGTGTAACGTTTGTATACACAATTTACGTACAGATTTTTGTGTACTCGCGATTCAATTAGGTTTAATGTCCTATGAACAGACGAGACCAAAGTGGAGACAGCAGCATCTCTACTTTAAGAGAAAAACCAAACGGCACAAACCTCTCACACCAACTGTCAGCATGGCGGCGGTGGGATGATGATCTGAGCGCCTCACACTCACTGAGACCCACAGATGAAGACGATGAAGTACGATTTAGACCAGGCTGTCATAGACAAGCCTTGACACTGAAAACTGCTTTTGCTATTACTGATGATAATAAGAATGAAATGATTTCCGTTGTTGCTGAATGTCTTACAGTTTCATTTCCCAGAGATGCTGGAGAATCTCAATTTTGTGAGTTTTTTTGTTCTGATAGAAATGTACCTGGTTTCTGTTTTTATTAGCTCGAGCTTTGCTGCTTTCTTGGTGAATTACTTTTGTTTCCTGTCTCGTCACTGCAGTCATCACTACAACTTTCTGGCTTCCTCCTCTGATAGTTTCAGGTTCAGTCAAACTTTGTCCTTCTTTTTCCCTCAGCGGTGCAGGCTTCTGTCTTACAGCATCATTACCTCTTTCTCCACTTTGGCTGTTGGTTTAGTTTAGTTGTAAGAACAAAATAGGTTGGTGGGCACGTTTCAAGAATCCTGATATTTCTTGGGACGTATTAGTGATAAGGCCCAGTTATCCCAATCACAGAAACAACTCTATCAGAATGACTGGGCCACTGCAGAGGCTTGATTCTTTTCCTCAACCTGACTGAAAAGCTGTGGACAGACCTTAAGCTAGCCGAGCACAAACAAAGATCCAAAAACCTCGATGACTTGTAAAGAAGAGGGAGACAGAAGTTCTCCACAGCAATGTGAGAGTCTGATAAAACCATAAAGAAAACGACTCCTCCAGCTATGGCTGCTCAGGGTGGTTCAGTTTAGTTTTCACAGGACTGCTGCTGAAAAAGGAAGTTTACTCAACTGACTACAAAAAATATTTTTCCTTTTTATTGCTGCTTGATATGACGATTGTTTGTTTTGTTTTTTTAAAGGTATGTTATATTGTACACCAGAATAATGGTTTCAAGACTTTAAAATCTTCTGGTTTGAAGTGTTTCTTCAGTATTTAAGTGATCTAGTGACAGTCGTCAGCATTTCTACTGCTACACAGTAAACAATAGTTGCTGATAATAACTTATTTTCCAAATTGTAAACAAATCCGATGTAAAACGGTGCTCGTGTTGCTGCCATGATGCAACTCACAAACTTTACATTGTCACATCAGGGCGTCTCTTTCTTTGGCCTCCAAACTGTGAAAAGTAATTTGGCGAGCAGGATTTGGCTTTGAGCGCGTTCAGCGGCATGCGTGTGCTAAACGGCAGAAGCATGCACACAGCACGCACTTTGAAATTACGTGACAGGACTTTAGATAATGTTTTTTCTCACTCTGAACTTTTGAAATAAATATAGTTCCATACTCCGCTGTGAATGCTAATCCACGTGGTGACATCAGCCCAGACTGACTCGGCTGTCCACAGATGGTACCTATTTAACGTAGCCAAATACTGTAAGAGCTGTGGGCGGTGCTAACATTCAGCTGTGCGGTCACGGATTCTCTTTAGTACCAGGAGGTTCCAACATCAAAATCGGGGCTTGCTCTGGTGCACATCAAAAGTAAATCTAGCTCTGTGCTTATAGCAACCGCTCAGTTGGCTGGTGTTCATTAACTTGGCTGCTGATGGTGGTGGTTTATAAAGGCAAGTTTTCAAAAGCTAAGCTACCATCCAAATACTTGTGTCTGTGTCTTTATTTAGTTTGTGCTGGACTCCTTGGATTTTAGCTTTCTGTTTTCTGCTCCTAGGATGCCGTTAACCTATCGGTCTACCATGACTCTTAACGAACAACCACCCGACTCGACTCCCAGTCCCAGCACCTCACACTCCCTCCGATCCTTCTCCCATTCACTGAAGGTTCCCCCGATCAACAGCGGGGGGCGTCGCAGTCCGCAACAGGGAGGAAACCTGAATCTCAGCAGACGAGTCCAAGATGAGAGAAGCGGCGAAGGAGGCGTTATGGATCGTTCTCGGTCCCCGCTGCCACCTCTGCTTACTTCCCACTCATCCTCCGACCTCCTGCGACTGTGCAATGGCAAGCCGCTCCGTACTGCACGATCCAGTAGCTCCTCAGCTCCGCCCCTCCCTCCAAAACCCAAACCTGCTTCCCTCCCTCCTCCTGCACTTTCTTTGTCACTGCCTCCCCCTCGTCCTGCCCCATCCCCCTCACCTTGTGACAACACCACCCCTCAGTTGCTACCTTGTGATCTTGGAGATCCTTCAAAAATGTTAGCTGATCCTAACCTCGAGCTAGAACCTGGTTCGTCAGTGGCACGTCGCTCCTCGCTGCACAGATCTAAATCAGACCTGTCAGACCGTTACGCCCGGGCCGGAGCTGATGTGGAACGCTTTTTTAACTACTGCGGACTCGACCCTGAGGAGCTGGAGGCGGTTGGTCCGGAGAACTTTGCACGGGCCAACTCGGATATCGTCAGTTTGAATTTCCGATCAGCTTCTATGATTTCCTCTGACTGCGACCGTTCTCGGCGATCTTCCAATGATGGTCTGTCAGATGGGGATGAGGGTGAGGACGAAGAGGAGGAGGCTGGGGAGCGTGTGCCATATGGCATTTCGGCTGTGGAGCGAAATGCAAGGGTCATTAAATGGCTATATAGCATTAAGCAGGCGAGAGAGTCACACAAAGTGTCCCATGTTTAGAAGTGGAGGTTCTTTAGGCTAAAGACAAACTGTCCTAATCTCTGAAGGAATCACTGCAGCGGCATTTCTCACAGATAAAGAGGCTGTTGTCTTATTGCTGAACGAAAACTTTTTCAACTGTGTGTAGCTGAATGAAAGAGGGAGGAGTGCACAGGTATAACCCAAGCCAGGTAAGGAAAGAGACAAAATAGTGTCTGAAGATTATAGAAAAGACAAAGACTGCAGTCCTCCAAAGTTTAGAACAAGAAAAACACCAAGAACAGGAAGAGGAAAAGCAAATTCAGTGCTTACTCTAGAGTGGCCGTTAACTGCTTCTCTGTGGACACTGTATGAACTGTTGTGTAAGCAACAGGAACAAAAGTGAAATGCACTACATTTGTCCAAGGATCCATAATGTGGCCATCGCAGTAGAAAGGATTGAAGACGTTTCTCACAGAGGACATTTGGACTTGTCAGACATCAGTACGACTGACACTCTGTTGAATGTAGCCTTTGACACCTGCACTCATCGTCTTTGAAATGTTCCTCAGTCCACTTTTGTGCTCTTTCATGGTCACATCCTCAGTAGGAAACAGTCGGCCAGTTGTAAGTGGTTGAACATCATCTTACCTCACAAATGCTGTCTGTTAGAAAAATAAAGCTACAGGTTAACTGTCTTTAGCTAGCACAGAAATATTTTATACAGGCCTCAGTCTTGCTTACATTTATCGCTCATTACAGATACTTTGGATATGTTCTCCCTTTGGGACACTAAGAAACAAAAAAAACCTAACCTCTGACCCTGTGACTAAGTTTGCATAGTAAATGTATACATGTGATAAACTGAAAGCTTAAACAACAAAGACCCGTTAAATCAGCACATTTCTTGGACGGAGGCAGCTGTCTTTCACACAATCTGCCTAAATTTGCACTCAATGCAGCGCATGTAGCTTATTGCTAAACCATTGGTGAATGACGTCACACTCGTTGTGGTTTGTCTAGCACCTCACAGAAGTTCTTCCTCACAGTACTTTTCTGATTGTTTGAGGTGATCAGCTCCCCAGTTTCCAGCTTTTTGCCTTATCAGAAACATCAGTAGCATCATTCACTTACAGTAATAGGGTTGCCAACTTTTTAGCTAACAAATACGGGACACTCTGGCATGCCAGAAGCACAATACACAACCAGCTGGGTGTAGTGCACATATGCACTGTATGTGACATTGCAGGTAATGGTCAATAAATGGGACATTTAAAGTGGACTAAGGGGCAAACCAGTGTTTGCTCATTATACAGCTAAAACGGGGCAATTGGCAACCCCAGACAGCAACACTGTGAGGTTTGGGTAACAGTGCAGTTAACAAATGGCCCCAATAAAATGCCTGTTGCTATAACCCACGGTTAAACAGCACATGAATTTTAAATAAAAAGTGAAAATCCTTATCAAGTAGCACCTGTTTCCATAACTTGTCACTGTTCATAAGTTGGTGGAACGGAGTCATCGTCTGTGCTTTCCTACAGTAACAAGTCCAAATGTCCACTGTGAGAACAGCCTGCACGCAGTGCTGATGAGGCTGCTAAACACACCTTGTGAAAGACGCCGCTGCAAACACGACTGAACTGTCGGAGCAAACTCGGTAAAATCACTTGATATTTGCGTAAAGTGACTGTTAAAGGATGGATTGATGACTTCGTCACTTGCCTCAATGAAGCTGCTGCAAATTGTTGAAAAACTCTGAAATACAGACGGTGTTAGAGTTGCGAAATAAAGACATCGGAGCGGGTGGTGAGTGAGACAAGAAGGAAAGCAAGGAACATGAAACAAAAACTAATGTCACAAACTCTGAGCATATTTATGTGGTTACACCATCAAATCATTGCACTCTTTGGCCTTTATCGCCAAATGTCTCATTACGCTGCCGTGTCAGCCAACAGAACATTTCAGCGGAGAGTTTAGGTGTCCTGTGGTGGGATATCTGTAGACGACATATTCAATTCAGGTGTATTTATTTAGCACCAGATCACAACAGCAGTCACCTCAAAGCACTTTACACTGTAAAGTGAAGAGTCTACAGTATTCTAGAGAAAACCATGACCTCTAGTTTCAATTTGAAAGCTTTTGATATTAGAGCCGTGGTTTTAATGGGAATTTCCCAACTACTTCTCCATCTTAAGGTCACAGAGGGTTGGAGCCTTTCCCCATTCAGACAGCCATTGTACCACTCAAGTCAAAATTAACTGTGGTAATGAACAGATTTCTTCCGTGAGGCTGCTTTCATGACGTAGGGTGACATCAACAGAAGTGTTAAAGTACCAAACCTTGACTTCATGCCGCCGATGTCAGTGGGACTATTAAACAGACCACAACTACTGACTTTTCTTTGGTGGCAGCCAAATAAACCAAACGCCCGGTGTTGAAGAAGCTGAAACAATCAGACCTGTAGATGTATCCACAGACGGTCCAAACCTTTATTGCAGTGGAAACCTAATGAGAACGTGAGTGAAGCTGCAGGACACCAAGACTCTCCTGTCGAAACAGTGTTGGTACAAATCATCATGTGTCACCACGTGCAAACACCTACACTGAAAGCAATATTATGCATACCGTATTGCAGTGCAGAACAGTGTATGAAGGTGTCAGACTGAAGTGTTGCTCACGCTGATTGCACGCTGCAGCCACACACAGCTCCAGCAGTGCGTCTGCCACCCTGCGCTGACTCCATCTCTCTACTGTATCCAAACCCTCAGTCAGTCCATCACAGGAGCAAAGTCTTTCGTTCTGCCTTTGTTTGCTCCTAATAATGACGGTGGCCGGATTACTGAGTTCCACACCACCCTTCACATCTGTCTGCAAGCCGCTGACATGTCTGAAGGCCTGAAGCCATATGGGTGTGAATGCAGTGCCTCAGCCAGCAGTTCCATCTACCCCACCACCACCTCCTTTTAGCTCACTTACAGGTCTGCAAAGGTCCAAGCACCCTGCTGGCTTCACTTCACTGCCCCTCATCCTGCACTACAGATAGTGTTGGTGCTGTGGAAGCATAAACGTCTGAAACAGCTGGAGTCTGCTCTGCCACGTTAAACTGAATTTGGGTTGGGGGTAAGATGACTCACATGTTAGTTAAGCTCCCTATAAAGCCGTCCACTTTCAAATGCAACCAAAAACAAGGTGCTTGCTCAAAGCACCTTCGTGCTTACAATCAGTGTCAGAATGGAAAAGCTTCACCTAATGGACACAGCTGCTGCCAGATGTCTTACAGCTTTGAATGTTTCATACTTGCAGAACTCCAGGTGCAGCGTAGATGCAGTCATAAGTGAATGTAACATATGAAACATTTCTAAATGTACATCACTGGTTAGCTGTTCACATAGTGCTCTCAGGTACAGGAACAAGTTCTTGTTTCCTGAAATGATGCACAGGGACGTGTCTTTGCTGAGCTGGAGCAGTTAGGGTCACAGTATAATGCTTGTTCTTCTGAGTAATTATGAACAAAGTGTACAGCTGTAATAATCTCAAAAACCCTCCAAACATCAAATTCTTGAAAATAACACGTGCCTCGTGAAACACAAAAACTCAGTTCAGCTGCAAGGAAACAAGGAAACAAGTACCAGGAAAGCAGTGGTTTTCTCTGAGGACTCATCATTCTCCCAGCAGCCTCTGCACCTTAGAGGAGACGCAATGAGTTGTGTCTTGAGTCCAAGTGTCAGTATAAAAGGCTCTCGTCAGATCCCGAACCAGCGCTTGATTCTTCAGTCAGCGAGCACACACTGCCAGCACAAGTGAAAATGGTAGTAAACATGAAAGCAACTGAAGATACCCACTTAACATTGGAGAGGATATAATTAGATGATGCTGAACAGTGATACTGTCAGCATACTGAATATAAATATGACCTCTAAAAATGTCAAACTAGTGCTCTGAAAACATTAAAAAAAAGTCATGAAATTCATTGTTAAACTCTGATTCTTATATCGCGCTTTTCTACTCTGTTTGGTTAGGAACATGCAGCGACAACACCCGATTATCAGCTGCAGGTTATGTGGTTTGGGTTAAAATGTTTAATAAGTCAAAGCATTGTTTTTAATGACAAGCAGGGGGAGCCCTCCAACTGCATGTATGCAAATGTGTGACACAATTAGCCCACTTCTCCTAAACCCTTTTTTTACTATGTTTTTGGTCTTAGTCACTAGTTTGATGTTTTAGTGAACACAATGCGATGCTTCCTGTGTAAAAGATAATTAACAGTAAAGCAGGACACTCGTTACCATAGTCGTGCAGTGTCCGAGGGGCTTCTGATGATTTAGGTTAACATACACCCATTCACAATAGCAACAACCCCACCCCTAGCTCAGAGTTATTAGACAAAACACCAACCAAGTGATCCTAAAGTGTGTGGACACAGTTGTCATGAGTTGCGGGATGTTTAATGTTCCTAAGACAGTGGATGTGAAGTGAAGCCAGCTGGAGGACTGGCCCTGTCCTGAGGCTGAGCATGTTCCTGACCCTTCATTTGTCTCACGTCTTCCCAGCATCCTTTGTGGAATCAAGCAAACCCTGCTGCTTCTCCCTGACAGCATGGTACGGCAGCAGCGACATTGTGTGCCATTTTCACTTTTGTCGACATGATGTGCTTTTCCTTTGACTCCGGGACAGAAGGATGTAGAGTGGTAATTGTTTTACTTTTCATTCAAAGTGTAAATATTGTAAGAAAATGTATATTTGATTTTCAAAGGACAGTGTGTTGTGTTTCAGTTTTTTCTGTGTTATAAAAGACCGGGAACAAAGCTCTGCTGTTTTGCTGTTGCCCTCAAACAGAACTGTCGGATTGAGCCGGGCATGACTGTTTCAGTGTTGATCATGTTTTTTGATGTGGAAACTGTTACATTTTGCTTGATTGGGAGAAAAAAATTACAAAAATGTCTTCGTGTTTAGTTTCTTTTGCATTATTTCAATAAATGTCTTCTTTTCCCATGTCTTGCCGCTCATGTTTGTAAGTGTTGACCTGTTAAACTAAGATGGTGGAACCTGAGCAGCGGCTGCTCTCTTCAGTCCAAACGTGAAGCTGGGCTGGCACAGACGACTGCTGTGATCTGGTGCTACAGAAATAAACTGAACTCGTTCAAGGTGAAGGTTGTTAACTTCAAGTATTACAATGATCGGTTCAATACTAGCAACTCTAAATGATAGAGCTGGGCTTTTAAATAAATATAAATGGGAGTGACTATAAGAGATGAAATGATTTATTGTAAGAGTACAAAAATATGTCTCGAGATCTGATTGGATACTCGTGAGATCAAAGGTGTGCTTAATGTTACTGCAGAGGAGCTGCACGAAGGTTGAGCTCTATAACACGCATGAACCAAGCTTAAAAGAACAGCTTGTTAATGCTTAAGAATCTGGGTTTGTGTAGCAGACAATGGAATAGTTCAACAAAACGGGAAAGAATTGATAATAGTCACATAAAATCTAATGTGAAAGTAAAAAGCTGCGGGATTATTCACAACTCTGCCCTGAGATACAAGCCGAGCCTTCTGGAGTGGATCTTAGACGCTCCTGACTAAGACATCGTTAGCATGCTGTGTCTGCAAGACTACTTAGGTTATGTGCAATATCAGGCCTTGAAACCACAACACAGCAGGTCAGATTATTTGTCAGATTATTCCATTAAATTGCTCTAAAGCCTGGAACAGCAGCACACAGCGACCTGTGCTGCTACGTTTGTCAAAGCAGTCTACTGCTTGCTGACGAGCACTTAATGAGACATGAGTGAGAGGTTCCTTTGCTTCCAGTATGAATGTTATGTTTGATAAACTTCTATCACTGTTTATCACTTCACTTGTTATGGTTTTTAAAAAAGTGTTATAGATTTTATTTTGAACATTTACAAAGGATCACACTAATATAACCCACATGTTGTCACGGAAACACTGTTTTTTTAAGAACTTTAATATCAAATCTGAGCAACGTTTTTTTGTTTTTTTAGGAACATCGCAGGCCAGTGGAGCGACAAAGAGAGGCCACAGTTTAGCCAAGCAGAATATCATCCAGTCTTTGCTGCAGTTCTTCTGAGAGCATGTGTTTGTGTTTCAAATCCTCCAGCAAGCTTTTTACTGTCTTTTTGTGCCTTCTTTCCCGATCCTTAGCATTTCTTAAGTCCCGACGCAATTCTTCCAACTTCTCCCGGGCCTCATTTAACCGCTTTTTTACTTGCACTGGGTCTAGCGCATACTGATGATCCTGAAAAATATTACGACTGAATGAAAAGTGGCTTTCTAACTGATGACGGTCCAGAATGTGTAAACGGCAGCTGTCACTCACAGATGCTGTTTGCTCCACATCCTGCACCTGTGGGGGTTCTTCTGCAGCTTTCTGAGAGGTCCTGCTTGTTCTGGTTGCAGTATGTGCCTGGGAAGGTTCAGAGTGCAAAAGGTTTTCCTCACAGTTATCACTCGGTTCAACACAGCCTGTGATATGTGATACTCACCTTGCCAAGATGTCTTGTAAATAAAAAAACTGATGGGATCACTCCTTCTCTTATACGAGTTGTCTGTCCAGTCCTGTCAAAGTCTTCTGCTTTAAAATGACAGCTGCAGACAACCGAGCGGTCATTTGGCTCAAAGTCTCTTCTCTTCAGGGCCATTTTCCATAACTGCCTTTTAACTTTGTCCTTCGGGAACCTACAGAGATAAGAGCCTTATGAGGAGAACAGCATGTAGTCCTGTTGTCTGTAGCAACAAGGTACACAGTACACTACTGTGGTCCCTCAGAACTCAGAGGTTTCCCCCCTCTGAGCTTCAAAGTCAACGCTGTATACACACAACCACATGTTGATGCACCCTGTCCTCCTTTTAATGAACTATTCTCAGCTTTTCTCATTTCATGTTAGCACTGCTGATTCAACACAGCTGCCTGTTTTTGTGTTCACCATATCCCATTATGGAGCCTTAAGCCGTTTTTCCCTTGACCGTGTGGAAGTGCTGGTTCTGACTGAGAAACAAAGGACACTGTGCACTGATTGGCTGCAAGTCATTACCCAGTGGGCATACCCAGGAGAATTCTCTTTTCTGGCTCCTAGAATGACCATAATGTGGAAAATGAGCTTCATGTTCACTTTGATATCTGAAAGATAAGATCTGAAATTCAGCACATTCTCGTGATGAACTGTCTCTTGTTTTCCCCCATTGAATCTGAACCTGTGGCTGTGAGTCACATCAACATCCAAGAGGCTACAAACCACTGCAAGGACAGGCGTGCTCTACTGAACCACGACTCATAAACCCCCAGCCTCTTTCATGCTTCAGCAGGGGAACACAAAGCATGGCAGGGGCAGTCACAGGCCCCCCCGTCTGCACCACGTAACTAGCCCCCGGCCCAAGCTTGCTTGTGCTGTTGTTGGTGCTTCAGTCAATGAGAAGAGTAAAGTTCTAACATACAAAGCACTAAAGTTAGATTTTTTTTATCTCAAGTATTCAAGGAAGAGTGGTGACAAAAATATAATAATCTCTCTAATAATTACAGTTAACATCTGAAGAAACTGAAATGATCAAAAACTATTCCAGCAGCTGAGACTCTCCAAAGATCTGGGTGTGCTGGATTGCCTGAAACAAACGAGCAGCATTTTCCTCTTGTTTAGGCGCATTGGGACAAAGTGGGCACTGCTGTTTGAATGGGGAAATATCTCCATACAGGTACATGAAGACATCTGTTACCTGAACTTACTGGATTCAAAAATCAGCTATTATTTTTTTTCCAATATCACTTTTAGAAGGCCATGCAATTCATTGTTCTTGTTGTCTGAACAATAACTGGAGTCCCACTTTACAACGTAAACGTTAGAGGCGGGTGGATCGGTCCAACTTCGCTTTCATCCTTCAAATTCAGTATGTAGCCCGCTGAACTGTGTTAATTATTTCTTTGAAAAAATAAACCTCAAACATGCACTACAAAAAATTTCCAAACCTTTTTGTGTGCTTTAGAGACAGAAACATTTACATTCCAGGTCCCCAAAAACCCAGTTTCAAAACACATGACAAGCTGAAAGGTGTGTTTTGTTGTGTTAACTAATTATTCTGCAAAGTAACAATGACAGTGATATAGTGGTGAACAAAATGTGCTCAGAATTTGCAAATTGAGACTTAATCTGGTAAGTGATGGCACACCACTCTCCCCCAATCAGCTGCCTGAATAACTTACAATTATTGGTACGGATATCGGCAATAGTGGCCCTGTGTTTACTTGGTATTGGATTGATACCAAAATTTGTAGTGTGGCGCTGCACTACCGTGGATGAGGGAAAGTGTGAATAGAGTATTTTTGTTGAAATGTCCAGGCAAGTACATACATGTTAAATGACACGATATACGTGTTCACATAACGTCAGTTAACGCACAACTTCAGGCTTTTATTTCTACATGATAATCCTTCATAATTAAACAATAAGGACAAGTTGTCTGATGTCCTGTGATCGTTATGAAGCTAGAAGTTTAAATCACACATTAAGTTTCTGTACAAAGGATCGGAAAGGAAATCAGTGGTGTCGCACATCACTGTGGCATAAATAATAAATACGTTTGCTGCAACGTCACTCGGTGCCATGACAGAAAGCGGTAGGAACTGTCGTAAAACGGACGTGGCAGTTTCGTACGGGACCCGTCGCGCAGTGCTGTGCTTGGTGAGTGCAGATGAAATAAACTGGAGCCGTTTTCTACCCGCACACAGGAGCAACATTACCACAGACAACGCATCCGTCGCGTGCCGTGGGTCAGTACTACAGCACCCAGCTGACTCACAGCTTCCATGTTCAGCCTCACTGACGCTTTAATGGTTTGGCAGCTTAAAGTTAAATAACTGTGTTAAAGCTGTTGACACTCTGCTGTGTGAAGAAACGCTAATAGTCGTAAACTAGATGCTATGCTCGTACAGCAGTAGTATTGTAGCGGCTCACCTGTGGAAAGTTATTCCCTGCTGCTTGGTGTTGGCGTTCCTTTGATTAGAGCACCCGAGAGCGGCACAGAAGTCTGGCATGTTCTGTTATTTTGGGCTGACCCGAGGAACCCCGTTGCAATATGGCGGCGGTATAAACACGTCTCAGGAGCCGGATGAGGAACCCACGTATGAATCATGAACGCAGTGGTCACGTGATCCGGAAAACAAACTTTTTTTATTGAGCAATTGCAAAATACAAATTCTCAAAGAGGAACACGGATAATAATGCAAATGAAAATTAGAAACAGTACAAGAAATACAGAATTAGGGGAATAATAAAAAAGTAAATGAATAAAAAAGTACAATTAAAAAAACAAAAGATACATGGCAGGCATTTAAATTGTGCATAAAAGGGAGCAGTGAAACAAAAAACATAAAATAAGTCAAAATTTAGAATAGCAGGAGATGGGCAATACCCTGGTAAAAATGTTTGGCATATTTGCTCTTTGTCTTTTTAAGCGAAGAAAAAAAACTTAAAATCATTAATAAAACCAGGGAAATAAGGCTTAGAGTTCCCCCATCTAGCACAATGGATATGATATTTACTCAATACCATGTTGGGTAAATATCTCTGACAGAGACATCCAAAGCTAGATGATCCATATAAAAAAACATGATATAGTTCAAATGGTGGCACATCATTCATTTTTAGAGAAATCCAATTTTTTATGTCACACCAAAAGCATTGTGTGATAGGGCATGGAAGAAATGTTTTAGGGTTTCATTTTCGTCAGTACAAAAAGAACACTGATCCACCTCAAAGCTAAATCTCTTTTTTAGAAATTCGGCCCTGGAATCAAAACCGACTGGACCTGCACACTCTCTGATTAGAGCCGGGCTACGTTAGTCTCGGCACAGTTTAGTTCTCGCTCACTTTTCAACAAAACGGATGATTTGAGGCTCTAGTTTGTCAGTGACAGGTGTGGAACAATAATTTCCGAGACATGGCTGTATTAAGAACATGCCAGATGCAGCTGTGGAAACACAGGGACACAGTGTCTACAGAGTGGACTGCACACCAGAGGCTGAGAAGAACAAAGGAAGAGGTGTGTGCATTTGTTGAAAGACAACTTCTGGACTGATGTTGCTGTTGGAGAAAAACATTTTTCATAGACTCGGAGTTCACATTGCTAAAATGGACACCTTTTCATCTCAGCATTGAACGTAGCACACTGTTTGTCTTTGCTGTGTACAGTCATCTATGGACCAGTGCAAAAATTAGCTGTGAGTAGACCGCATAATGCCATCAGTAAACAACAAGACTTCCGGCTAGTTCCTTTATTATGGCGGGGGACTTTAACCACACAAACCTGAAGTCTGTGTTACCAAAGTGCCACAAAAACGTTCCCATTGGAACATGGAATGGAAAACCACTGGATCAGGTTTACACCAACATCAGAGGATCCTCCAAGACCTGCACAGCCGTCCACCTTGGACAGTCGGACCCTTTGGCTCTGTTTTTAACCTCTTATCATCAGGACAGGTCACGGTCTGAGGAGACTGATTGTGTCCCATCACGTGTCGCGCCCGCAGTCTTTGTGGCGCTTTGGCTGGTTGTGCACTAAGGGTACTTTCAAGCTCTTACAATGCTGTGGTTGCATTGAAGAGCTTGCATTACGTTTCTCCCACCAAAAACGCTGCATCCAGATGAAAAGAATCAACTTTCTGGGATGTACTTACCCAGTTGTTTGAGCATGCATAAAGATATGTAGCACGTAACTTTGCTTTAACTATGAACAATTTGTGGTTCTTCACCTCCCATGTGGAATCCCTGACAATAAGGGATAATATCAATTAAGACTATGCTTTACGTTACTGTAAGTGTAACAAAAGTGTCCCAACAACTGTTACATCAACCATAATGAGCAAGAGGGAGTGAAGAAGCAGAAGAGCATCTCTAGCGTGAGCGCATTTAGGTTTGGTAACTCACAGTTAGCAGTCAACTTAAACACTTATGCAAACGTAGGAAAAACGCTGTCACAGCAAGGGTGAAATACACGAGTCATCTTGCCTTTAAGCAATATTCCATCTAAATATGAGGTCAGTGCATCTGTACGTAAAATGAGCTCAAAGACAATCAGGTCCATATATATTTGAACACTGACACAAGTTTAGTTTTTTAACCTGTTTACTGAAACATATTCCAGTTATAGTTCTATAATGGACGTGGACATGATGTGTAGACTATCTACATTCAAATTGGATGAAGAGTTTGTGCCACCCTGTTTTTAAAGGGACCAATGTAATTGGACAGTTGACTCAAAGGCTGTTTCACAGGCAGGTGTGGGCAGTTCCTTCCTTGTGCCTGGAGCTGATTTGAGGTGCGGTGCTTGCATTTGGAGATTTTGCTGTGAACAGACAACATGTGGTCAAAGGAGCTGTCCATGCAGGGGAAACAAGCCATCCTGACGCTGCAAAAACAAACCCATCCGAGAAATGTCTTCACAATATGGAAAATCTACAGTTTGGTACATCCTGAGAAAGAAAGCAAGCACTGGTGAAGTCAGAAACACAAAAAGACCTGGACGTCTACAGATGACTGCAGAACCATTACCATGGTGATGAGAAAAGACTTCACAACAGCCAATCACGTGAACAACACTCTCCATGAGTAAGGCGTGTCCATATCCAGTGTTCCATGAAGAACGCTGGACAGCTTGCACTGCAAGAGTTTATTAAAGCAAAGAAGTGGAATATCCTTGAATGACCAAGTCAGTCACCTGATCTTAACCCAACTGAGCATTTCACATGTAGAAGACAGACGGCCCACAAACAAACAGCAACTGAAAGCTGCTGCGGTAAAGGCCTGGGAGAGTCAGGAGGACATCTAGTGATGTCCATGAGTTCAAGACTTCAGACTGTCATCGCCGGCAAAGGATTTTCAACCAAGTATTAGAAATGAACATTTTATTTTCAGTTATTTGATTTGTCCAATTACTTTTGAGCCCCTGAAATGATGGGATTGTGTTAAATAAATGCTTTAGTTACTTATATTTTTATGCAAACTTTTAGTTCAACTTGCTGAATGAAAGCTGAAAGGCTGCACTTCACCTGCATCTGAGTTGTCTTGGTCCTGATATTTATGCACCCAACTTATATCGGCACACGTGCATCCACAGTCTGACTATACATGAAATACTGTTTTGTTTTTGTGTGTCCTCTGCATAGATGAGTGGGTGTGCGCTGAATGAAAAGGAGTTCTTTTCCTGCTGTCAGCTCCTCCTGCAGCAGTCTGAGCATCTGAGAGATGGCTGGAGCTGGGAGGCAGTCCAGGTGAGGAGGCCTCTCAATCTTGATCTTGATGAGCAGCCTGGAGCTGTGCTTTAAAGGCAGTCTGATTTTGGTACAGGGTTCAGAAGAGGGCTACCTCAGGAAGACTGTTCTCAGGTCAGTCGTAGCTGACTGCTGTGATGCACAGAAACAGAAGGAAGCTGCTTCAGTTTCCCCTATTTTCGCTCACCCCATCCAAGAACTGCAGCAGCAGGAAAGGACGCAGGTGAAACTTGAACAGCGCTTCATTTTCCAGCTGTCTCTCCAGTAAATATCACTAAATGTGTCTCTTCCTCCACAGCCTGTTGTTGCTACCCGTTTTCATTCTGATGGCATCACAGGCGACGGCGGTGATGAGGACGATGCAGTCTGCGTGCTGTCTGAAGGCAGCAGCCACGTGCTTCAGTACGAGTATCACATCCTGTACTCTTGCAGCTACAGCGCTCCTGTGCTGTATTTCAGAGCTTTCACCCTGGGTTAGTCACACATACGGCAGCCACAGCACACACACACCTACCCCCGTGTCCTCCTGTTTGAGCAGGATACCGCAGCGTTTGCCTTTGCTGCCACTCGCCACCAACATGATGTTAGCTGTGTTTCACCGCAGCAGCTTTCTCCACAACTGCTGTGTAGCTCTTTCAAGGGACTCGGTATTTTGTGTAAATCAAGTACACAGGTGGAAGTGATGATGTTTGGTTAAACTCGAGTAACACAACCACGAAACATAAACAGCAGAACAAAGGGCAGAAGAATGAAAACTAAACTCATCAGTATGAAGGCGACTCAGACTTAATGTTGGTGATGATGCACTAACCTGTGGCAGGAGGTCGTCCCTCAGCAGGTCCCTGTGGTATAAACTCACCCGTTTTGCACTGCTCTTTGTCAGAGGGTCGGAGTCTGATGTTAGAGGACGTGTGGAGCTCTGTTCATCCAAACTTCAGACACTGCCTTCAGAACAGTCCTTTGACTGCAATCACTCAACAGGTAAAGGAAGTCTCGGCATCATTATCTCTACTTTTCTCCTGACAGTCCACTTACTCTTGTGTCTGTGTGCCAGGAGCATCCTCTGCTGGGTCAGCCTTTCTTTATGCTCCACCCCTGTAGAACGGAGGAGTTCATGAGGCCTGTGCTGCAGGAGGCTCAGGAACAGCCCAGGTAGGGTCGCCGAACCACAGCGCTGTTGATGTAAAACTCTGAGGTAGCTCAGTGTTGCTCTGTTGATCAGGCAGCTCGGGAACATTGACTCCTGTATTAAAATATTTCTCATGTTTCTGATTTTGTATTTTTAGCCTGGTTGGATTTGGATTGCATTTCAAAAAACAAACTTATTTTTAGGTCCACATTAGTGAAAACTGGACGCTTTTTCAAGACCAACTCTGCTGCTGCAAAATCAGATCACATCAACACACATGGTGTCACACTGACGCATACACCGTGTTGTTGCTTTCACTAACTGAATGTCAGTTTGGTTCAAAGTATTAACTCGGGAACCGTAGGACTCTGCAGCTGTCCACTCGTAGCTCTGGTTGTTACTCTGTGACTGTGGGTGTAAACTTAAACAGGATTGAACGTGCAGCTTTCAGGAGATCTAGTCTACACCCTCTGTCACCTCTGATGGTGACATATGAAGATGCTGTTTAAGAAAATCAGCTGATCCTAAAAAGTTTCTAAAATGATTTAAATACAAAGTCAGATCAACAACAAGACATATTGGAACTAACAAAACGAAGCAGAAATACAGGTGTGTGTGTGTGTGTGTGTGTGTGTGTGTGTGTGTGTGTGTGTGTGTGTGTGTGTGTGTGTGTGTGTGTGTGTGTACAAGTACTTTGATTTTGTACTTAAGTAGAATTTTCAGGTACTTTTTTCTTTATTTTTCTAACATCTTCCTTCATTTTTATACGAATATCTGTGATTTCAACTCGTTACATTTTCAGTCTCGTTGCTTTTCAGAGTCATTTGCAACACGAGTTTAACATCACTACGATCGTGCGTTGAAACATCAAACCAGTCTGAGAACAGTAACATGAAATACAGTCCTGCTGTCGACATCTCTGCTTCTGCGTTTTGGATTAGTTTTTGTTCAATAAGTAACAGCGTGGTATAATACCTCATGTTCTGTTGTTTATCCGAGTCTGTATTTAAATCATTTTAAAACCTGGTAAAGATCTGGTTCCTTTGTTGTCCCAGTATATAAAAGTTTGAGCTGACAGAGGGTGTCGACTCTGTACATCGTGACTCTTTGCAGTTTTCTTTTTGATGCAGTTGTGGCTTCCTCTGTTTTTTTGAAAAGCTGGATTCATACATATGTGTGTGTGTGTGTGTGTGTGTGTGGGCAGGCCAGTGAACTATGTGTTGTTGTGGCTCAGTGTGGTGGGTCCTGTGGTGGGTCTGGACGTCCCTCTGAAGTACTGCACCCAGCTCCATCCGTCCTCTCCCAGCAGCAGTGAGCCTGACTAGAGCTACAGCGCTCTGCTTCAGATTTGATGAGCAGCACCGTGGAGACGGGAGGCGGCTCTGTGCGACATTTTGCAAGGAAGACTTGCAAATGAGTGACATCTCCCCCGTCCGGGGAGAGTTTGGACCAGTGTTAGATAACGCTCTCCACTTTCATCATCAAAACATGGAATATCTTACAGAAGAATCGCGGCCCATCTCTCCACTACAGATCCATAGACATGGAGAATCAGTGGCACATGGCGGCTTGAACTCGTAGTGAGATGCTCTTTTTCCTTTAATTTGACCACTGTCAAAATCAGCGTTTTGATTAGATACCAACTCCGTGCTTTGGAGAGATGCCCTGTGCTATTAATACATTTAATATTTGTGTTGATGTAATGTATACAATACATATTGTGCTAGAATTTAGACTCAACTGTGCAAAATGTAATAAAAATATAATCCTGGGATTTGCAGACCTCATTGAAATGATACAAAAACAAAACGAAACCAATCACGACCTTTTTGAAATGCATTTGTACATTTTATACCAGCAAAACATTTCAAAAGAAGTTGGAGGAGAGTTAAGAGAAGTTGTATAATGCTGAAAGAAACACCTGGTGGGAAATCTCCAACAACTGTGCGTGGCCGAGTATTCCACAGAATCTTTCTGAGTGGGAAAACAGTTCAACATTTGATTCTTTTAAATATAGTCAATACAGTAATATGGTCAGCTGATGGTGGTGAGTTTTCAACGGAGCCACATCAGTGTAGCCTGTGAGATATTTTTATTATAGATGTAATTAGCGTTTCACGGGAAATGTTTAATCCATCGGTGCAAGTGCAGAACACCTTTCTGAATAAATAGTTTGTATTTTAATGATAATTATGTAACTATTCAAGTTCTATTTAATTTAAGGTTTTTTGTTTGCTGCTTAGTGTTCCGGAAAGTAAGAATACTATCAAGCCATCATCACGGTTTTCTCAGATGCACAGTCAACGTGGACCGTATACAGTAAATCTTGCTGATGACGTAGGTGGTAGGCAGTAGTTCTGCTTACGGTCTTGACTTGAAGGATGACTGGAACACTGCCAATGATAATGCTGCATTTTTTTTTACTGTAAAGCAAACTCAAGTACTTTGAGTGACAGGCAGGTTAAAATGGTGTACACTGAAGTGTAAAGCATAAAAAGCATTTTTAAAATGTGTCGGACTTTGAAGCGAGTAGCATACACTGATTTGCTGACTCGATATTAAAGTAAACCCTGCAATCTCCTGCTTTCTTTGAGCCAGTTCATGACATAAGAAACAGATAATGATGAATAAATAAGGTGTCATAATTAGATGTCAGGCCACTGTGAAAGGACAGACGACCACAAATGGGATCTCACTGGACATTTCCATCTCATTGTGCACTAAACAGTGCCGCTTTCAGGTCTCTGGATGGCATAGTATATAAATTTGTATTGATAATTATCAAAATTTGAATATATTTAGAACAGTTCTTATATAGTGCTTTTCTACTCTGAGCACTCAAAGCGCTTCACCAGAACAGCCTGTGATTGATCCATTAACCTGCCGATCAGTAGATGCTCAGCCTCCTGAGCTACAGCCTTACCCTGTCTGTCACAGACCATTCAGCATTGCTTTGGAAAGCAGCCAGTTCAGGTGCTCCACGTCTGAAACCAAAGGTAAGTGTCGTCATAAAGTCACAATCGCACGCGTGCAGGCTGAGATGTCCATCAGCCTGTATTGACTGAGTCTGTGGATATTGCGCCTCTGGAAGTAGGTAGGCTAGGTCACTTAAGATATTAAACTAAGATATCCAGCTTCAGTTGAATAAAGCTTTTAAATAATGCTATCAGTTAACTGCATTGTGTGTATGGTGCATGTCTGACAGGGAAGTTGAACAGAAGGACACCTTAGGTAAGATGGCGCCACCGGGAGTTTGGCGAGGGTGACTTAAGTGTTTAGGAAAGTAACACTACACACTGTATAGGTGGATGTCATTTGAACATGAAGGAATTGGAATCCTTATTTTAAAAAACAAACAAAAACCCCTAAGATTTATACTTGAGCTTAAGGTATTTTTAGACAGTGTACTAATACTCAACAATCACTTCATTAGGTATACCCGTTTATTACTGTGCGGTTATACTAATTGGATAGTTAAATTGCAGGAAGTGTATTTAGGCATCCAGATGTATTCAAGATGACCTGCTCAGAGTACTCTCAGAACTGAAGAGTCCTCTTGCATGAGAAGTGAAACTTCTCCACGAAACTTAAACAAGTCCAGCTGCGTTCTTTCCAAGCTTCTTATTCTACAATGACTTGGATGGCTAAGAACCGACACGGATCAAAGAGAATGGACTTTTCTTGAATGTATTGAAGGGTTTAAATGGCTGTGTCTGAACCCAAATATTTTCCAAAGCCGAATGATGTAGTTCTGGTACCTAAACTCAAACAAATCAAAATGGACCTCATACTGAAGACTAAATGTAAAAATCCTGGTCAGATGTCATCTGTGTTTTCATTATTATGGGCTGGGAGGTCAGTTAAAGGAAATGACCTCCCAGTCCATTGCTCCTTCAGTGGGCTGGTTTCAGTCATTATGCAAATATATTGTTTATAAGATTGAAACCTGCAGTCAGCTGAGACTGAAGACGTCACTGGATGAGTGACGAAGCGTTTCTCCCACAAAACGCTGCGTCCAGATGAACTGAATCAACCTTTGGGGAAGGTTTAAAGCTCATTTTAAATTCTTTTATATTCTGTTTAATCTACGGGTAATGCACATATCCCAGTTAATTCATCCAAAGGTTAGATGCTGCAATGTTCACAAATACAAACTGTGACTGTGGATGTAAACTTAGACAGGACTGAGCGTGCAGCTTTCAGGAGATCTAGTCTACACCCCTTGATGACACCCAACCACCTTTAATGGTTTGCATATGAGGATGCTATTTAAAAGAATCAGCTGGTCCGAAACAGTTTCTAAAATGATTTAAATGCAAAGTCAGATCAACAACAAGACATATTAAACCAGGTCATTGTTTAGTTAAAAAAAACTAAGTGGAAATACAAAAATACAGAAAACCCACAACTATATATCAGACTCTACTCTTCATGACAGTGCAGTGTGTGTGTGTGTGTGTGTGTGTGTGTGTGTGTGTGTGTACGTACAAGTACTTTGTTTTTGTACTTGAGGAGAATTTTCAGGTATCTGTACTTTTTTGGTTTTTGAACAACTTTTTACTTCCTCCATTTTTACATGAATATTTGTACTATCGAATCCGCACATTTTCAAAACAGGTTTTTTACTTTTTAATGTTTAATGCACATGATGGAGGTTTTCATTTCATCAAACCAATGCGAGTCCAACTGGAGGGAATAGTAACATAAAACAATCCTATTGTCTAAATTTCCCACTCTATAGGCTTCAGATCGGATGATAAAAGTTCATGAGAATCAGAAAAAAAAGACGTATAGCTTGTTTGGAAGCACTGGCAGGAGAAAGTGTTTTTTCTTTAATGGGGGGACCAGTGGTTTGTTTGTTGAGCGTTATGTTATTTTCCATTTTATCTTTCAAGTTTTAAATCAAAATGATTAAAATGTGGGCTGGAAAACCAAAAATGATAAGCTTAAATAAGAAACAAGGAACTCATTTCATTTTCCCCTTTTGGTCGGTTTGTTTTGGTCTCTTCTCTCTCACAGTGGTGATTGTGTTCCCCAACCTCAGCAATTAACTTGCTGGGGTTGGGGAATAAAGACAAAATTAAACTATGGATATCTATTATATCATGAGGTGTAGCTTAACTTAAAATTATTTTTGAAGCTAATGGAAAGAAATATCAGGATGGCTATTTTTCTGAAGAGTCTTTGCACTATCACGGCTGAGCGGTGGATATCACCACCTCAGACCGGAATAAGAGCATGTATGACATGCTGTGCAGGCTTGATGTGGAGGCAGGCTTCTACTGTGTCTACTATGAGTCCAAAGCCCATATCCACTGGTCTGTGAAAGCAGGTAGGTGAATGATATCAAACACAAGGCAAGCTGATTTAACACATGAACTACAAAAACGAACTAGAAGAAAGCCTGGACAATTAAGTGACAACCGTAACCTTTAAGTCCTTTAAGTTGTGAGTTGAGAAACTGCAATGCACTGTGTATTCTAACATCTTTCTATCAGAACCAACATGAACCTTTTTCCCAGTCTGAGCTACAGTAGCTCATCTATTGGATTGGACCACGTGGGCTTAAGTGGTGCTTGGCCCTACATGACCCCGTCTCTGGTTCACCACCCTTCCATCCTTGGACTACTTTTGTTAGACAGACCACTGCAGACCAGGAAAACCCCACGAGAGTTGCAGTTTTGGAGATACTCTGATCCAGTCATCTGGGCTTTGTTTTCTTAAACCCCTCTACTTGCACATTTTCTTGCTTCCAACACATCATTTGAGGACTAAATGTTCACTACTCACTAATATATTCCACCCACTCACAGCTGCCATGATGAAGAGATAATCACTGTTATTCAATTTACCTGTCAGTAGGCAGAATGTTATGCTGGATTTGGACGACACCACAATCACTTATGTGTTTAGTGTAATGAATGAGATTGTAGATACAAGCAGCTGAAAAAAAGCTTTCTTCCAAGGGTAGCTGGGCTCTGCCTTAGAAATAGGGTGAGGCGTTCAGCAACCTGAGAGAGGAGGTGGTTTGGGCATCTGACTAAGATGCCTCCTGAGTGAGGTGTTTCAGGCATTACCTACCAGAAGAAGGCCCCAGCTCTCGACTGGCCTCGATATGCCTCGTGCTCCCTCAGATAAGTTTAGGTTGCTGCCCCTGCGACCCAGCCACAGACAAAGAAAAGAAAATGGATGGATGGATAGAAAAAAATGGATTGTATAGTTTTAGATTGTATAGGTGAGATTTTTTTTTTCAAACTTTTGAGGCGGTTGGAAATTACCTGGAAAATCAAGAGGCTGCAGAGGTACCAGAGACCGGCTCCATGTAGTTTGCTAGGATACCCAGCAGAGGGGGCTGTTTACTGGCCTCAGAAGTTGTGTGCTAATACTTCTCTGACTCTCATGTCAGTGCAGACAGATAATGCTACATAGTTTAGGTGCCATGGCCAACAAAAACAGAAAAATAAAATTACCGCATTTTTATGCTTTTAAGTTTACCAACACACTGTATGTGCACGTAATTCACATACACACCTGACACAGTAACAAAATTTTATCTTTAAAGAATATTTAAAGTACATAAAGTCATCCTAGCTCATTTCATGTGGAAGGAGGAGGATATGGAAGAGAGGTCTGCAACATCTGAGGAGTAGCCATTGGACTGATTTTATTTTTAATCACATGAATGTGATTTTAAAGTGCAAACTACGCACAAGACAGAAAAACCTTGGCTGACAATGAACACCTGAAGTGCACGCATCGTCATTTTCAGCTA